ACAGCTACCTGATATTTAGATCCAAAAGTGCATAGTATCTGAATCTTCGGAAGTGGCAAGAAGACACTGTTTAGACTTTTTTGTGTGGCCTTTTGGTCCTCTAGAAGGGATGTAAATTAAGGGATCTATTTTTTAAAAGGTCTGTTTGCTACCAAGCTATTCCCCAAGGAAGGGACTGAAGTCCCAGTGAGTGCCAGGCACCCTCTCTTTGACAGCCGTGTGCTGTGGTCTAGCATTGCTTGTGTAAGGCATCTCACTTTATCTTCATGGTCTTCTGAGGGGCTGTTGGGGGCTTATGTCTGCGTTGCACAGACATTGGAGTCTGGGAGGTGTAGCTTAAAAGGCCCCTGGGTGGCAGCATGGAGTGCCCAGGCTTCCTTCTTCCACACACATTCACTAGGTGAGGTTTCTGGGGTGACTGCTGTTTCAGAGCACAGTCTCTGGGCTGGGGGACCGTGGGCCTCAGGGCCACATGGTTGGCATCTGGCCCCACCCATACAGTTTTGCCTGAGGAAGTTTCTTCATATCCCATGTTGGAAATGCCTCCACCTGTCAAGTGAGGAAACCTATTTATTTCCTGGGGTCATGTGTGGAGAGTCCAGCTGAGTTCGGGACCTCATGGGTCACTGGCGTGAGGTCAGCAGTGATTAAACCTGGCTCAGTCTCAGAACTTGACGGTGCCTATGCAGCTGCTCATGGAATGCTTTCTTTTGAAAAGTAGTAAATCACGCGAGTGTCACTCATTTTGTGTCCCAGTGCCAGCTGTGCACTGCCTTGGGGGTCTGGTGTCCCCCAGGGAACTGCCGTGGCCCAGGGGCTTTACTGTGCCTGACAGTCCCATCTCAGTGTGTGAAATTACTTCTAAAGTACTTCTCTAGAGATTTCCTCTGTAATGTATTTTTGGCTGTTTTTTTTTTTCCACCTGAGGGTTAAGTGCTAAGATAGGAACTCAAGTTTCTTGTCGTTATGTGGACTAGATTGATTTCGCCTTTGTCTTAGAAAAGGGGAGAATTTTTGGTGTGTTTTGGTTTTTTATTAGATAGTGGAGATCTTGACATTATTTGTTCCTTTTGTCTGTAGCTAGAAAGCAAAGTCAGGAAGCCTGTTAGACTGCCTGAGGCTCTGGTGTGAGCCTACTGCCTAGCAGGAGAACCCCCAGGCAGTCAGGAAGCCTGTTAGACTGCCTGAGGCTCTGGTGTGAGCCTACTGCCCAGCAGGAGAACCCCCAGGCTTGATGGAAGCTGAGCCCTTGCAGGCTGCTGGGCCACGAGAGAGAGTGCCTGGAATTGGGGTGCAGGCTTCCCTCTTTTTGTGTGTTGGTGTCATGAATCCGCCACCTCATTCCTGTGCTCATCTGACCCTTCTGCAGATGGACCTGCCACCTGTTTCTCTCGCCCGGCACTACGAGGAAGAATTTAAGCAAGACATGGCGGCCCTGAAGGTAGAGCTGAGTCTCACTGCCAGGAGGGTGCAGGCTGCCAGGAGGGTGCAGGCCGCCAGGAGGGTGCAGGCTGACCGTGTCTGCCTGGCGGGGACAAGCTTGCATCTCCCCTTTCTTCCAGGTGCTCCCGCCCACAGTATACCTGAGGGTCACTGAAAATATCCCCCAGATAATTTCATTCATTGAAGGAATAATTGCTCGTGGGCACGCCTACTCAACAGCAAAAGGTAGGTCCTGCTGTTAAAACAGTCACCAGGCAAGGCTGATGGGATTCGGAGAGACTGGACGTGTACTGTCTGTGTTGATGTTAGTTCTGCAACAAGGACGTTGTGGCGTTTTCCACCTTCTTTTCTTTTCTTTTTTTTTTTTTTTTTTTTTTTGAGAGAGTCTCACTTTGTCACCCTTGGTAGAGTGCTGTGGCATCACAGCTCACGGCAACTTCCAGCTCTTGGGCTCTAGCAATTCTCTGGCCTCAGCCTCCCAGGTAGTTGGGACTACAGGTGCCTGCCACAACATCTGGCTATTATTTGGTTGTAGTTGTCATTGTTGTTTGGCAGGACTGGCTGGATTTGAACCCGCCAGCTCCAGTGTATGTGGCTGGCGCCCTAGCCACTGAGCTACAGGCCCTGAGCCTTCACCTTATTTTCTAGTCCCAGGAAGAGGTTACTATCTGGACAGCTATTTTGGTTGCACCTGTGGAAGCTGGGTGGTGGGTGCACAGCTGGTCCTCATAGAATTGGGGATAAAGGCAGGCCCTCTAGAGACCCTCCATCCTGTGGGAGCCTACCAGGGTCATCCGCCTCTGGGTGTCTATCAGGGGCGAGCGCTGGCCACATTGGCTCTGGGTAAGAGGAGCCCTGGCCTCAGCGTCAGGCCTGAGACAGAGAATAATGCCCAACACTGTCCTGTCCATGTTACATTCCCTCAGCTGTCCCGTTTTCCATCATGGCCCAGCCCCACATTGTAACCCTCTGAGGGTGTTTCTGGAATCTGTGTGTCAGTTCTGCCTCCTCATCCTCCGGACTCCCCACAGGCTCACTCAGACAGTAGCAAAACCAGAAGCCTCTCAGGACGTTGGGTGGCTTGGTGGTGCCGTTGGTTTGTGGGTCTTCTGTCTGTAGCACCTGGGCAAGGCTGGCATCCTGTATTTTGCATTTGTGTTGAGTTCTTGCTCTTTCTATCCAACTCCAAGTCCAGCTCGGGGCTGATCCCCTGTGAAGTCCCTCTCCACGACCAGGGTGGGCACAGAGCTGTCTTTGTCGGCCATGGCATCTACGTGGCACCCTCTGGTAGCCACGTCTCTGCTCCACAGTTGGCTGTTTAATGTAGTCACATTTTATTCCTATCTGCATGTAAATTCTCAGACTCAAGAGAACTCTTTTCTGTGTTGAGTGACCCAGCAGATTGCCCAGCCCAGGGCTGTAGATAGGCTGGGCGTGAAGCCCTATTGCAAGTCAATGGCCAGTTAGGAAGCAGGAGCAGGGCTCCTGGGCCACCAGCACCTTCCCTCCTGTGCCAGCCAGGGAGCGCTCAGCCGCCTACACAGGTGGATGGAGCGCTTAGCCGCCTGTACAGGTAGATGTGCCTCGGCTTTTATCTGCGCTAACTTGATAGAGGAGATTTCGTTTCCAAGGAGTTCTTTTTAGAAGACTTAGGTGATTAGACTGGAGTTTGTACCAGAAAACAGAAGCACAGGAATTATCTTTCTGCCCTTGTGCACCTTAGATGTGCAGCCCCCCCCCCCAGCTTCTGTTCCAGAAATAAACCAGTGAAAGTTCCTGAGGTATTCAGGACTCACATCCTCTCAGGCCTGAGGAATCAGTGCTGCTTGTTTTATTCCCATGTTTTATTGTAAAATTCTAATGATAACACAAACTCATTAATTCAGAATACACCTACATTCACCCAAACCCCTGTGGTCTGACTTTGTGACAGTCCCCCAGGGGGCTGTAATTTGATCTTCGACCTGTTGATGGAAAACAGTTTGCTCAGCAAATCGGTAATGTAAACAAAGGTGAGAGGAAGTTTCCTCTGTTGAAGGGAGTAGTCTCTCTCTCTCTGGAAACCTTTCTAAGCACTGTGTGCATTCTGCCTTCACGGACAGGTCCACAGGGCCTGGGTGTCTCCTCTGCTGTCCAAAGCTGCACCCTCAGCACCCAGCTTCAGCTTGGCAATGACAAGGGAGGACGCCAGAGGCAGGGCTGGCCCTGGCTCACTTGGTTTCCTTTCCTCAAGCCATCATGCCCCTTGCTGTCACCAGGGACCATTGTGCTAAGGGGCCTGTCATGTCCACGCACTGAGGACGTGGTGGTGGAGGGCCTTGGTGTAGTCAAGAAGCTTCCTTGATCTTGATAAGACCAGTGGCCTCAGAAAGGGTAGTGTGGATAGGAATTAGTCTACATGTATTAGTAAAAAGAATGTGAAGATTGAAAATTGGTAAAGGTTAAAAATCAGACTCACGCTTGGGCCCTAACAACAACCGTGTGTTGTCAGATGCCTTGGTGGGTGGAGCCTGTGATCCTGGGGGTGGCCTCTGCATGACCTCGACTGGCTCCTCATCCTTCAGGTGTGGCCACAGCCAGCCCTGGGGCCGAGGGCTGGTCCTTCCTCCCCGAGGGCAGTCCCCACTTCCAGCGTTTCCTTCTCACCCCTGCCTCAGTTTCCTTGGTGGTGAGGGTAGCAGGGGTCTCTGCCAAGGGTCATCTTTGACCCTTGGTCTGTAAAAGTGGACCTTGGGCTTCTCAACAAGGCGGCAGCTTCCCACATGCCTCTAGCTGCCTCCAGCATGCAGTGTTTTTATCCTAAGTAAATTAGGAGAGCTAGATAAAGAAATAGTATCTTTGTTTGTTTATAACATAAAGCCTTAATTCAGCTGAACAAAGGCCAATGATTACACTTTTCTCTTTTCTGATTAAAAGAAATTCTTGCCTGGCCCAGTAGCTCATGTCTGTAATCCTAGTACTCTGGGAGGCTGAGGCAGGTGGATGTACTGAGCTCAGGAGTTCGTGACTAGCCTGAGCAAGAGCGAGACTCCATCTCTACTGAAAACAGAAAAAAATGAGCTGAGTATTGTGGCAGGCACCTGTAGTACCAGCTACATACGAGACTGAGGCAAGAGGATCACTTAAGCCCAAGAGATTGAGGTTGCTGTGAGCAATGATGCCATGATATTCTAGCCTGGGCATAGAATAAGACTCTGTCTCAGATAGATAGGTAGAGAGATAGACAGATTGATAGATAATCTCAGCATGTTACAAAGAACTTACATTTGTGCTTTCACGTTTTTACACACGCACAATATGTCTAAGTGTATGCTTTTATACTATAGTATTGCTATTGTTTTTAATTTTGGTAAAAAAAAAAAAAAAAAAAAAAGATGCTAAGGTGGGTATGCTGCCCTGGATCTGGAGTCTGCGGTAAGGGGATTGTTGAAGCCCAGCAGTTCAAGTGTACCATGGTCTCACCTGTGAGTACTCACACTCCAGCCTGGGGGCATAGCGAGACCTCATCTCTGAAGGGGTGTGTGTGTGTGTGTGTGTTACAAGGACCCAAGAGAAGGCCATATACCATATTCTAGATGTAAATACTAGTTGCTTGTTAGATATTAAGCTTGAATAAGGGCTGATATTTGACTAAGAAATGATGAGTTCCTAATTACCTTTGTGAAACAGGCAATGTCTACTTCGATCTGAAGTCCAGAGGAGACAAGTATGGCAAACTGGTCAGCGTGGCCCCAGGTCCAGTTGGAGAGCCAGGTGGGTGAGAGCCCTTGGGCCCTGTGCCTCCGCCTTGCGCCTTGGTTGTGGGGAGGTGAGGTCTGGAATGTGCACACTACTTGGCAGACATGGCGACGGTGGCTGTCCGCTGGTCACAGCCATGTTGCGAATTAGATTTGGTTTCTTTGAATAGATATACCATGTGCAGTGTGAAGTTCCAACAGCACATGGAGCCTCTCCCCGCCAGCAGCCACTCCTTTCCCCGAGGCTCTGCAGTAGTGACTGTCCCCTGTCCTTGGGTTTTCCCTGCATATGAGAACACACACATCCCTGGGTTGGGCCGTCACAGTCATCCGTGTCCCGCCAGGGTCATGGAGCAGATTCCTGGTCTGTGTGAGGCTATCCCACACACTTTGTTCTGTTCTAGTAAATTGTTAGGTCAAAATCATTTTTATGGAAAAGAGATAATAGATATAGCATAGAGATCTAAGTTAAAAATAATTTTAAAAGGTTACCACTTAAGGGAACAAAGCAAGAAGAGTAAGCAGAAACACAAAGACAAATTGTTCGTGTTATTTCTGCCTTTGGTCACCGTCTTCCTGTCCTGTAAGCTCTGCACTTCCACAATGATCACTAATGGCCTTGCTGGACTCCTCAGAAATGGCTTTGTTACTTTCACCTATCAGCACCCTGCTCCCCTCCCCCAGGGCCAGAACAGGTGTCGTTAACAGCAGGCCCAGCGTTGCACCTCACACAAGCAGAGAGGTTGTTTCTGAGAGTCATACATTTTTGCATCAGCAACAGTTGTTCTTTTTCAAAGTTAATAGATTGTATATTTTAGAGCCATTTTTGGTTCAGAATTGAGAGTAGGATGCAAAGAGTTCCCTGATGTGTCCTCCCCCAGCACCAGAGTGGCCCATTTCTACATTCCTATAGACTTGTCACTGTCAGCAGAGACTCAGTTTACATGATGGGCCACTCCTGGTGCTGTGTGTTCTGGGGTTCGGGTGTCACACGGGCAGATCACTGTGCAGAGAAGCCCACTGATCTTACCACTGCCTCCAGAGACCTGCCTTTTCAGGGTGCTCTCAGACAGCACATACCTGCTCAGCTCAGTGTGCACCTGCTCAGCTCAGTGTGCATCTGCTCAGCTCAGTGTGCATCTGCTCAGCTCAGTGTGCTCCTGCTCAGCTCAGTGTGCACCTGCTCAGCTCAGGGCGCACCTGCTCAGCTCAGCGCGCACCTGCTCAGCTCAGCGCGCACCTGCTCAGCTCAGTGTGCACCTGCTCAGCTCAGCGCACACCTGCTCAGTGGGCTTCTTCCACTTAGGAATGTGCATTTCTGTCCTCATCATCTTCTCCCAGCCTGTAGCAGGTTTCTTTTCACGCTGAATACCATCTATTGTCCAGGTTTACAGCACTTTACCATTCACCTCCTGAAGGGCGTCTTGGTGGCTTCTCAGTTTTGGCAGCTGTGAACGAAGCTGCTATAGACATCCATGTGCAAGTTTTTGTGTGGACGTTGAGTTTTCAACTCCTTTGAGTAAATACTAGGGAGTGACATTGCTGAATCACATGGTCATAATATGTTTAGTTCTGTAAGAAACTGCCAGACTGTCCTCCAGCACAGCCAGCCGTTCTGCCCACAGTATAGCGTTCAGGGCATCCTGCCCCTGTAACACTCCATACATCCCTGCCCTTGTAGCTGTCCGTACGTCCCTGCCCCTGTAGCGCTCAGCATCGCCACTCCTGCAGCTCTTGCCATGTCCCCACCCTCGCAGCTCTCTGTGTGTCCTAGGCCCTCAGCTCCCAGCAGCCCCACTCCTACAATTCTAGGCACATTCCTGCCGCTGCCCTGGGCACTTCCTCCCCCCTGCAGCTCAGTGTGTCTCCACCCCTGCAGCCAGCTAAAGTTCTTACTGCTGCTCCTCCTCACAGCATTACTTTTTAAAATGAAAATTATTTTCCTAAAGGTGAGCAACATAGTTGTATTGGTTATAATAGCATAAAATTAGGAAACATGTAAAACAAAGATAATAAAACAACTTACTCTTTATATAGTAAAAAAAATTACCACCTTGGTGTTTATTGTTTCAAAGCAGTAGTGTGTGTTTTCAAAAAAAATTTATATTTCTATAATGACAACAATAAAAAACAGCATACAGTATACCTAGCGTGCTGGATTTGGGTAGGCGGAATCCCTGTGGTCACCCCAGTGGATTGCAAGCTCCCAGGCCTGCCTGCCACCTCCCCATCTTTCTGAGTGGGTTGATGACACAAGCACGTGTTGCCAAACCCAAGTTGGCCGTAGCTGTCCTGGCTTTTTGCTTGTGGTAGATGTGTTAGCCTGTGAGTCCTCCTCCACACCTTCTAACAATTCACTCAAGCAACACTGCATGTTTCCAGTCTCTTTGGTTGGGATTGGCTGATTCACTCAAGCGACACTGTGCGTCTCCGGTCTCCTAGGTTGGGGTCGGCTGAATCACTCAAGGGACACTGCGCATCTCTGGTCTCCTCAGTTGATTCTGTTCCCATGGTGGTGTTTGACATTTCCCTCTAACCTATGACCTATCTATTTTTGCAAATTGGAAGTTTAATCTAGAGGCTTAATCCAGTCCTGAATTTCTGGAGAAGGCTGCTGCGTGGGTGCGACCTTCCCAGGGAGATGTGCAGGCTGCGTCTTGGTGCCAGCGACCTGTGTGGTGCTGGGTGTAGACCCTTAATGGTGAAAGAGGCTGCACAGGATGACACTCCCTTCTGTCACGGTCACTTCCCTGAGGACTGTTATGCAGACAGGTTGTTTGTTACTTATTTTCTTGGTGGTACATTTTGTCTAGGAAAGGCAGGATGTATAAATGTACAAGGCTTTTTTCTTTATTTATTTACTGATTATCAAAATAAAGAGTTGGTTGCTGTATCATTCTCTGAGGGTGACAGTGAGTAGGTTTTTTTTTTTTGCAGTTTTTGCTGGGGCTGGGTTTGAACCCTCCACCTCCGGCATATGGGGCCAGCACCCTACTCCTTTGAGGTGCCGCCTGTGAGTGTTTTTTTAATTATTAGGTGCTTAGGGACTTAAAAACTTAGATGTATGTGCTGTGTTTTAACATTTAGCTGTTGTCATCCTTATTGGTCCTAAACTGTCCCTTCCTGTGCCAATGGGAGCCCCTGTTGGTTGACTCCCAAGTCCCTCAGACGTAGCCATGCTGTGCGGGATGACTCACTGCTTCTGTCCGTGGTGACAAGCTATTCCCAGCTCATCTTGGAATATGCCTTTCTCCTGAGAGCCCTATTTTTCTTTAATGAAAGATGGTGTTTGCAGAACGTGGAGTGGGCACCAAGGATACTCATTGCTGTGAACTGTCATTGTTTCTCGGCCTTTTCATTGGACAGAGGTGATAAATTAAAGTATCTGTACACAAAATAGATGCTACGGCAGGCCACTCGGCACCTCTGTTTGCACCCGCACCTCTCTGTTTCCCTGGCGTCTGCTGCCTCACCCTCCATCGGGACCCAGCAGCCCTGCCTGTGGGGCCAGCGTAGTCAGCAGGTCCCCTTGCCTCCCACCGCATGGGTCCGTGTGTCAGTGCTTCTGGCTGCACCACCTCCTGCCTTGTTCATTCTGCCCGTTCTCCGTCTCTGGGTCGACTTCCCTCGGGCCAGCGTCTGCTGACTTTCTGCCTGTGATGACGTTGTCCATTTGGCTAGAAACCCCGGGCTGTGTCTTCTGTCCATGAGTATTTCTCCCACCATGGCGTGCTGTCATCAAAGTGTGCGGGTCCTCTGACTTCACGCGTAGCGTGCATGAGCTGCTCTGTGTGCCTGCGTGCCCAGAGGATGTTTTTCTCTGAAGTCTAGTCATTTTGTTAGTAGTAAAAACATGGCATGTCTGGGCTGGCCTAGAAAAAGTATCAGTGTCTGCCCCCAAAAAGCTCAATACTTGCAGATTCATCATAGTTTGAAAGGCCTTATGGGGCATTGTGCACGTGGGCTCTGGCTGTTGCAGTCAGACAGGACAGCAGGTTTTAGGGAGCACAGGTTGGCTGGCCCGGACGGGCAGCTTCCCCTCGATGGTGGCAGCCTCTCTAGCTTAGAGTCTCCGCTTGGTCACCAGCATGTCACCTGATGTAAGTCCACCCCTGCCCCCTTTACTTTTCTTCCTTTTCTCCCGGGATTTGTCTCTGTGGAGACTCTTCAAGGATGATTTCCACAGACGAGCTGGTGCAGTGCTCTGAGCAGAGCCAGCGAAGGCACAGTGTGGTGTGGACAGTCCAGCGGCTGCACGTCGTGCTGTGACCCCAGGCACAGGAAAGGGAGCCCTGCTCCTCACAGGCAGACGTGGAAACAAGGTGCATCTTAGGGAATGTGATTTTATTATTTTATTGACTTACTTGTATTATATATGTGTGTATTTATAACTAGTTACGTGTTGGATTCATACTGAGACATCCGGTGATGTAGTAGGTGGCGCAGTTTTGCCATTTAAGCTCAGGGTCAAGTTCTGTTTCATTTTGCTCTTCCAAAGTACAAGAAGGAAAAAAAAAATCAAAGGGCTGAGTGGGATAGCTCATGCTTGTAATCCTAACACTTTAGGAGGCCAAAGCAGAAAGATTAATTGAAGGCAGGAATTTGAGCCCAGCCTGAGCAACATAGTGAGAACCAGTCTCTACAAAAAACAGAAAAATTGGCTTGGCGCCTGTAGCTCAGAGTAGGGTGCTAGCCACATACACCAAGGCTGGCGGGTTCAAGCCTGGGTTAGGCCTGCTAAACAATAATGACAACTCCAGCCAAAATAAAAAAGAAAGAAAGAAAAATTAGCCGGGAGTGGTGATGAGCACCTACAGTGCCAGCTTCTCAGGAGGCTGAGGCAGGAGGATCACTTGAACCTGAGAGTTTGAGGCTGTAGCGAGCTATGGTGATGCCACTGCTCCCTGGGCAACAGAGTAAGCTCCTGTCTCCAAAAACAAAACCAAAAAGGGGCTTTCTGTCTTCTGAGGATACCAAGAAAAAAAAATCAAAGCCATTTCATCTGCATGGCATGTCCTGATATATAGTGTGTACAGATGAGAGGTGCTTCCCGACTTCTCTGTTGCTCAGAGATAGGTGCTGGGGTCTCAGGCAGGCCCCAGTGCTTGCCTGGTTAATGAAGGGGTATTGCTGTTGAGATAGCTGGTGGTCAGCTATTGAGAGAGCCCTCCAATTGAAACATCCTGGCTGTGCTACATGATGAGGTTAATGGACTCTGGGGACCATCACGTCGGCATATTTCCTTGTTGGCAGATAGTAATCCTCGCAGGCGGGCTTGAGGGTTGTACTGTACTGAGACAGTCTGCCCAAGGGCCCTGCCTTGCCCACTGTCGTCCCTCAGGACTCAGCAGGGAGCTGGGTGTCGGCCTCCATCTCCATGAGAAGCTTCGTCTGGAGCAGGTCTCATACCTCCTGGGAGCAGAAGGCCAGGACCCCTTCACAGAGCACTGCATGTATAGGATAGAGAGTGACTGGTCTGCTCCTTCCAGGAGCAGGGGATGGAACTGCTCACAGGGGTCTGGACGGCTTTCCTGTCGTGGTTTCTCTGCGGGTTGTGAAGATGAGTTGTTTGTGAACAGGGTTGAACGGGCCTTGAGGGCCTTGGCCTCTGTGTGGATGCAAAGACCCATCAGAAGCTGTCCTGACTCAGGATGACCACCTGCTTCTGGTGGCCATCCATCTTGTTCTGCCCCAGGAGCGGCTCCATCTTAGCACAGATGGGGACTTGCCAGTGGCCTTGGCCCCACTGATGCCAACTGGGAAGGTCACCAGCAGGCTGCCGATGGTCCTCAGGGTCTGCGCCTCCGGTTCCATCTAGAGCCCTGACCATGTTGTGGTACATTTCTTCTCACACCAGATCGTCCCACCTGGCCTCTGTCCAGGCCAGGCCTAAGCCAGACGGCAGCCACCTGCTGGTCCGTTTTGCTGCTGAGTCCCAACCCCTTCCTGCTGACCTTGCCTGCAACAGCACCTAACCCTCGCAAGGTCAGGTGTGGTATCCTGTGGGCTGGACGGGGTCCCGGAATATGAAGGGAGCCACTCTGAACTTGAGTGTGACTTTCATGCGTCTTCTGACCTTTATCTCCCGTTTGTTCTTTGAGACTGTGACCAATACCTGTGGTAATTTCCTTTTTGTTCTATTTGATTCTTACCTTTTTGGAAAAAATACCCTGAAACTCAGTTACTGATAGGTAGACAGTGGACAGAAGGAAATGCGGGACACTCATCCTGTCCACCCCCAGAAGTGGCAGCCTCTGGGCTGCACCCCTCACTGTCCACCCCTCACTGTTCTCTGCAGCTGGCACCCAGGCCTGGCACAGTGCGATGGCAGCCCCTGCTGGGTCTTCCACTGCTGTGTGGGGAAAGAGATGGGTGGCCAGGTGAGGGCTGTGCCATCATCGTGAGAGGGAGCAGGCTCTCTGGGGTATGTGGTGGCCTCTGGCCATATGAGGTCCCCTCCCACTGACAGGCCGTTTATCATCAGCAGGTGATTCTGACAAGCGGCATGCCAGCGACTTTGCTCTGTGGAAGGCAGCCAAGCCTGAGGAGATTTTCTGGGCCTCTCCGTGGGGACATGGAAGACCCGGCTGGCACATCGAGTGCTCTGCCATGGCAAGGTGAGGCTTCCAGGCTGTGGCATGTTTGATGCTCAGGGCTGTTTGGGGCCTGGTCTGGGCAGCCAAGGCTATGGACAGGTGTGGGGAGCTGGGCACTGTGCCCCTGGGCAGGCTGTCCAGGCGGTTCCCAGAGCACGACTGGGACAAATGCAGCTCCCCGGCATTGGCACCTCCCTTGCATTAGGAGAGGTAGCTGTGTGGTCTGGTTCCTGATCCCATGCTGCCTGCCGGCAGGGTCCAAGCACCTTAATCCTTGTCTATGGGGATCTGGGGCTCAGGGCTTGGGAGGAGAGCACCGTGCACCCCTCGCCAGGTGTGGTGGCGTTGCTCGTGTCTACTTACAGGTCTGATTTTGACCTGGGGTCCCCCCAGCGACCCCTGGGACAGTAGGACAGCTCCACTCTTGGACTCCCCTGAGTGGGCTGTCCCCATTCTACCAGGTGGGAGAACCTGTCCCCACAGCCAGCGTATCTGAATTTTGTCCTTGTTAAGACCCAGAAGGAATTCTCCCTTTTCTGCCAGGCTTTCCCCTGTAGTGATGCCTGTGTGACTCAATGGGAAATGCAGGAAGCACAGGACTGACCGTCCACATAGAAACAGACACACAAGTGTCCAGCCTTCAGCCAGGCCTCGGCTGCTCATACGTGTTTGTAGATACTTGTTAATAGCAGACTGTGGGATTTAAGTTGGGTTGTAAAAAAAGTATTTGTTTCTTAGATTCAAATAATTTCTCTAAAGCAAGTAGAAAACATTTAGTGAATTTCAAATATTCCCAATAAATATTTTATTTTTGTTGAAAGATCTGAATAATGAAAATAGGTTATTATTCCTTGTCAGCTTTCTCTTCCTTTAAATTCCATCTAACATAGAGATAAGAATTGAGACGACTGGCTCGGTGCCTGTGGCTCTAGGCGCCAGCCACGTACACCTAAGGTGGCGGGTTTGAATCCCCAGCCCGGGCCTGCCAAACAACAATGACGGCTGCAACCAAAAAATGGCCAGGCGTTGTGGTGGGTGCCTGTAGTCCCAGCTACTTGGGAGGCTGAGGCAGGAGACTCGCTTGAGCCCAGGAGTTGGAGGTTGCTATGAGCTGTGATGCCATGGCACTGTACCCCCCAGGGGGATAGCTTAAGGCTCCGTCTCAAAAAAAAAAGAATTGAGACAACTACACAAACACTGTGGCTTAGCTATCCTACATCTCCACACCGTCACATCTGTGTCTGCTCTTTGTAAAGAGAACTGCTCGTCACAGGCTCGGCAGGTCCCTTCAACCCTGCTGTCTGCACCCTAGCGTTTAGGTTTCAGAGAATGTGAGTTACTCAGAACCCACCACAGCGATGTAATGTAAAAGTAACACATAGCCACTATTTCTGCATGAGGCTGGTATGTGCAGGTCACCCCTGGGCACCACTGGGAGACCTCAGCACTGGTGTTTTTGGAGACTCCTATTTTCAGCTGTTTTAGGAAAAACCCCTAAGTGTTTGTGGCCAACCTGGTGAGCTCTCTGCTGGGCAAGGTCATGCTTCCCCTGTGCTCAGAGCCCCATGTCTGTCTGTACTGCCGGCCTGTGGACAGCACCCCTGCCGTGGTGAGTCACCGGCCATCCACCTTGTCCTGAGCAGCTTCCACTTGTGGGTGGCTGCTCTGGTGACAGTGGCCTGGCCTCGTTTCCCCGTTGGCCAGTAATTTCAGTGTGTAGGTTTGCAGAGAGAGCATGGGGCTTTTCTGGAATCCAGACCACTCAGTGTAGCAGAAACAGGGACAGGTGAAATGTGTTGCTTGGAGTCGTGTTATTTGTTATTAATGTGACTGTTAAAATAAATTTTCAAAAGCTGCATGAAAAATTCTTACAATTTTATAGTTCTGTCTGTTGCTAAAGTTGGAAAACTACTAAGGTAATTTTGTAAGTTGTTTTTCTTAAACCACATATTGTATTTGGAGCAAAGAGAATTCTCCTTAATAGCATGAAAAGCTATGAGTTGGGGTTTTATAATGAAGTAAGAATCAGATTTCAGTTTTCACTTGAATCAAATAAATTATGCAGACTGATTTAAAATTGAGATTCAGTTTTGTTCACTGAGAAAGGCTGGAAGGATTAAATGCAAGCTGAGGCTTGGAGGGATCTGTCCTGGGTGGGGTTAACTCCTGCTGTGCGTGGCTTCCCTGCAGCATGGTGTTTGGAGGTCAGCTGGACATCCACTCTGGTGGAATCGACTTGGCTTTCCCGCACCACGAAAACGAGATCGCACAGTGTGAGGCTTTTCATCAGTGCCGGCAGTGGGGAAATTATTTCCTACACTCTGGTAAGTAACAGCCGTAACAATCAGTCCCCTCAGTTCTGTCTTTATTTGGGAATGTACAGGTCAGCTAATAACAGGTCAAGAAATGGATCTGTCGCAAATTACTTTTCAGTTTTAGTCATTCAGGTATGAACTTCCTTGAACTGAAATACGGGTGCTCCCAAGTTACAGACACCCAATTTACATACAACTCGAGCTTAAGAACAAAGCTGTTACAGTAATAGTTACATAGAGGCCTCTGTTATGACTTAACACGCAAGTTCAACTTAAGAACAAACCCACAGGCTCGGCGCCCATAGCACAGTGGTTATGGTGCTGGCCACATACACCAAGGGCGGCGGGTTCAAACCCAGTCTGAGCCAGCTAAACAAGGACAACTGCAACCAAAAATAGCCGGGTACCACGGCTCTGTCTAAAAAAAAAAAAAAAAAGAATAAACCCACAGAACCTATCTCGTTTGTAACTCAGGGACTGCCTATAGGAAATTTTTGGAACTGAGTAGAATATGGAAATATTTTACAACATATAAGTTTTCTTCAAACAAAAGTATTAGAAAGGAATATCAGATAGTATGATGCAATAATAATTATGAATATGCCATTTTAAGCCAAAATATTGTCACCAGACATACCTGTCCTCTTCTGATGACACTGCCTGCTGTTCTGCCATTTGAGAACGTGACTGACTAAGCCCACCCCCTGCTCAGAAGGAAACCCACGTTCTGGAGTAAACAATGCCTCAAGCAGAGCAATTTTGGATTCATTGTGATGCATGGGATGATTCTTATGTCGAGTTTTTTTTTGTTTTTGTTTTTGTTTTCTTTTTGAGACAGAGTCACTTTGTCACGCTTGGTGGAGTGCTGTGGTGTCTTATTCACAGCAACCTCTAACTCTTGGGTTCAAGTGATTCCCTTGCCTCAGCCTGCTGAGTGGCTGGGACTACAGGCACCTGTCACAACGTCCAGCTATTTTTAGAGACAAGGCCTGGCTCTGGCTCAGGCTGGTCTTGAACTGTGAGCACAGGCAATCCACCCACCTCGGCTTCCCAGAGTGCTAGGATTATAGGCATGAGCCGCCATGTCCGGCTGTGTCTGAGTTTTGACATTTCATAGACCAGAGCTAACTGCTCTTATTACCTTGTTGGAATGGTCAGCTAAGACATATATATATTTTTAATGGTAACTATGTACATTAATGCACTTCTGGGGTACAGTGTGGTGTTTTCACACATAATCCGAAACACTTCCATCAAACTGGTTAACATAGCCTTCATGTCATTTTTAGTTATTGTGTTAAAATGTTCATATTCTACTCTTAGAAAGATTCCCTTGTACCCCAGCTAAGATATTTGAGACAAACAAAGATAAAAAGTGGCAGTGAGGTAGTAGTACTGTTGTGAGATGCAAAGATCAGCATCTAAAATCCAAGAAGCTAACATCCTTGAGTTAGGAAAGTAGGGTGTTACCGTGAGAGATGTGGCTGTGGAGGTGGCCGAGCTGTGTGGCCTGCGGTGGGGCCCACTGATACACACACATGTATCTGGATGATACACACACATGAGGCTGCCTGCCCCAAGCCCTTCCTGTGGAGTTCCGTCACCCACATTCACCCACAGGCCCCACCGCGCCTTCTGTGTCCACCTGTCACCAGCCTCTGGCCTCTGGGGCGGCCAGCCCTTTCTGTCATGGCTTCCCCTGTCTGAAGTGAAGCAGAACCAGAGCTGGCAGGCTGGTGTTTGGGGACTTGGGAGCCGCAGTCCAGTAGAACACAGCACTTCCCTGGGGCGAGCTCACTAAGCACTTTCTTCCCCAGTGCCCTCTGTGCCTGGCGGCCTCCCTGAACAAAAGGCAGGCCTCCTGTGCTCACTCCCGTCTCAGCTGCTACCGTCCGGGAGCAGATGCTCACACTGACGGTGCCCAGGTCTCAGGTGCTCCTTTCCACAGCCTGGTGCCTGCAGGCACTGGGGCTCATGGGCGAGGTCTCCCCTCCTAGCAGAGGAAATATGCTTAGGCCCGCATCTCAGGACGGAGGCATCCTGTCTCTAGTGTCAGGTGGGAATAGTCACTCCGCAGACACCCTGTTGTCTGCCAGCTAATTCTGTTCAGTAGGTCCTGGCTGCCACAGGCCCTTGGGAATAGTGTGGCCTTTAGGGAACTGTGGTCTAGGGAGTCAGCAGCGTGATCTTAGCCTCTGTCAGTGAATGACGGCTGGGGTCTTGGACATTTCCAGATGTGGGAATGGGAGAGGATTTTTTGTTGCTGGGTGTGTTTTTATTTTTGTTTTTTAAGACAGAGTCTCCTTCTGTCACCCAGGCTGCAGTGCAGTGGCATCATCACAGCTCACTGCAGCTTCCAACTCCTGGGCTCAAGCAATCCTCCTGACTCAGCCTTGCAAGTAGCTGGGACTACAGGTACCTTCCACTGTGCTAGGCTAATTTTTTTATGTTTTGTACAGATGGGATCTCACTATTTCCCAGGATAGTTCAGAACTCCTGGCCTCAAGCGATCCTCCCACCTCGGCCTTCAGAGTGCTGAGATTAGAGGTGTGAGCTGCTGTGCCCAGTCTTGTTGCTGTTTTTATAATGCCTTTTACCACCTCTTAAGACACGAGTTGTTTTCATGCTACTTTGGCCCCATCCTGGAGAAGTGGCAGTGCCTCCTGGACACAGGAGAACTAATACTTCTGCAGTAAATGGACGGGAGGTGGAGGGAGGACTCAGCTGCAGTCTGTCTGTTTGGGCTGCTGGGACAGCACGTCATCCACAGGAATGTCCTCACGCTCTGGAGGCTGCCAACTCCTGCCTCAGAGCATTGGCAGGTCTAGGGTCTAGA